ATATAATAGAATATGCGTACACCTGTGTTCCCCCTCACTGGAATATGATTGGCTGGTATCCGTCATAAATACCGACGTGCCGAAAAGTTACGACAGAGTCAGAACCTTAGTCTGAGAGCTAAGTCTATAATGGCACCCATTGGACTACGCCATTGATCTACACGTCATATCTGCAACTACGATGTGTACCAGTCGATTACTGCTACCGTATTCTACTTGGTTATAGTAGCCAAAACCACTTAGCTACTTCATTCAAATATATCCCTTTCCGGGACATATTAATTATTCATTTCGTGATAATAGAAGAGGTTTATATTAAGAGGCAGTTTATGCGGATAGAACAGGAAGATGACTGTTAACCCTAGAATTGAACAGGTTAAGATTGTAGAGAGCCGGGAAATATCCTCTTGTTATTCGGTTCCACATAGCAGTGGTTCGCAGGAAGAGTGGAACTTAATTCTCAACAATGGAACACGGAGGGAATGTGTGTGGCATGGCGGAACCGAGCCGTGAAAAGTAGAACTGGCTGGCCAAAGGAATGTAGTTCGTCCGAGGACTTCCATGGAACTAACGATAGATCAGTGAGAGACATGCCGCCTGTGAGAGAGAGGTTGAGTGTGGTATATATATATATATATATATATATATATATATATATATAACACCGAATAATATGCTAACATATTTCTTATTTCTTATTCCTCATAAAACAGTTGCAGTCAATGAAAGGTTGGCTATATATATATATATATATATATATATATATATATATATATATATATATATATCAAGTATATTCAAGCAGTTCAATTTACATTACATGAATCATTAACTTATATCTGTTTTTGTATGAAAGATTCATGTATATATATATATATATATATATATATATATATATATATATATATATATATATATATATATATGTCATTCGCAGATAGTACTGTTTCGCAGTATCATAGCTCTTCAGTGCGACTAGACAACCGAATGCCTCAATCTCGAATTGAAACCCAACCGATTTGTTGTCAGTCAGAGTCTCTACCACTGACACATATATACATACACACACACACACACACACACATATATATATATATATATATGTATACATCTATATATATATATATATATAGAGAGAGAGAGAGAGAGGGTGACAATGACAGAGAGAGAGTAGTGGATAGCGGCTCGGATTGAGAAATTGGAGAGCTGAGTTCGAATTCCAGTCGAATCCATTACATTCACTTAAGTGCTAATACCCTTGGGAAAGGTATGAATCCTCTTCTTCTCCCTCCAGCTATGGGTAAAATAGCAGGACAGACTGGGTTCTATAGCCTTGGATGGCAACTGGTCTAGGAGAAGAGCAACTCTGAATTCAAAACCTGCGGAGTGTTGTTTGGAGACCTTGTGGCACGTGGTGCACCAGGTCTCTGTATTCGTCCCTTCAAAAAAGGGTGGATGGTCCTGCACGAGGCCTTCACCACTATAATCAAATCATATGTGCTGGTTTCTGGGCTGTCAGTTCCTGGGAACTGAGCTGTTTGACCTTCATACGTCGAATACGTCGGGTGAGTTATATATATATATATATATATATATATATATATATGTGTGTGTGTGTGTGTGTGTGTGTGTGTGTGTGTGTGTGTGTGTGTGTTCCATCAATAAGAACACCAGTAATGATGACCTTTTTATAGGACGAGAAACGTTACATAGATTTTTTTTTACTCTGACATTCAAATAAAATATATATATATACACACACACACACACACACACACACACACACACACACACACACATATATATATATATATATATATATATATATATATATATATATATATTGGTCGGTAGTATTATGTATCTGTTTTCATGTGATTTACTATTGCGGATTGTGTTATTAGTTTTGTTTCGTTTGTATATTTTGTATGCCTTTCTTCTTGCATTGTGGATGAAATGATATGGGTATTGTAGGTTTTTGAATGTGTTTTCTATGTATGTTTCTTCTTTAAATAAATATTGAGGACTACAGATTCTTAATGCTCTTAGATAGAAACCTATAATAATTCCAGATTTAATTTTTGAAGGGTGGTTTGAGTAGAAGCTGATGAGATCATTTTTGTTTGTAGCCTTTCTGTAAACGTCAAAATTGAGTTCGTTGTTATTTCTGTGTAATATGATGTCCAGGAACGGAAGTTGGTTTCAGTTTCAAAAGTGAAGTTTATTGTAGATTCAACGTTGTTAAGTTTGGAGAGAAGATCCGTTAAATTGGTGTTTTTTGGAATTATTAATAACGAGTCGTCTATGTATCTGAAATATGAAGAGTTTGTAGGGAGAATATTTTTGAATGAGTAACTTTCTAGAAATTCTAAAAATAGACATGCAAGAACGCCGCTGAGAGCATTTTTTTTCGCTTTTATATTAAAGTTTAAACAATAACAATCCATTATTGCTAGTGCTAGACTTTCAAAGGAACAGGTTTCAAATCAATCCCCGGTTTGTTAGCCTGATCAGAGTTCTGAACATGAAATTATTTCATGTAGGAAATGCATTTATATATTGGTAATCTCTTTTCTAAATTCCCTCTTTTTCACAGTCGAGCGCACACAAAATCTCCAACTTCAGGCCAGGCTCCATATAATTATTTACTCCCACTCAGAATTATCCTATACAAATCCATAGTAATTTTGAAATCAGTGAGTTTCGAATGTATTTCGTAAAGAAACTGGAATACTAAACAATCTTGCTAACCATCACGCCATAATAGGCGACCTCCAGTCCTTCTGCTTACAATATGGAACGCGCATGCTCAATAATTGTCTTGTGATCTCAACATATTTTTCTATTTTACCCTTCTATATAATAGCAGCTACGAAGGACACATTCATTTTGAATCATTAAAAGTCTTTTTTTTTACATTACTAATAAAATGTATAGCGTTTTATACTAAACTGATTATTTGAATATCGCCATGAAAGACGTGAAATTAAATGTACCCAGAATTTTTCCCTGAAGCTGTAAGAACAATAAAATTAAAAGATTAATGCGAAAGACATTTTTTTTCCTAATGCTGTAGTTTTGAAAAGACGAAAGAAAATATTTGGCATTATAATTTAAAACGCATGCAATGAATTCCATTTTGACCACTTGGGAAAGGCGGTAAAAGAATTTGTGAGAGAATGTGTGTTAAAGAGAATTAGAGAGAGAGAGAGATTGTAGCAAATAGCTTAAAAGGCGGAGACAAAATAGAAAAGTAGAAAGAAAGACAGAGAGAGAAAGAGAGAAAGAGAGAGAGTGGGGGGTAGAGGAGAGTAATGTTATAAAAAAAATATGGATATGATATATAATAAGCAGACGTAGGAAAAGAAAATCGCAATCATTGGCTGTAGAACTGGGCGGGAAAATATAAGAAACTGTAGAGTGAGTGCAAGATGTTTAATAGGGAAGGTTGAGGAAGGGCTGAAGAGATGAATGACGTAGGGAAGAAGGAGAAAAGTATAGAAGATGAAAAAAGAAAAGAATTGGGAGAGTGAGTGCGAGATACAGTTAGAGAGAAAGTTAATAAAGAGAGAGTTGGAGAAAGCAAGGAAGAGAATACTATAAGTAAAACTAATGAGAGAGAGATATCGAAGTATTGAAAGAGAGAAAGAGAGAGAGAGGGAGGGAGAGAAGGTGAAGGAAAAAGAAAATGGCTGATAAATGAGGAGAGAGCGAATTCTAAAATGAGGAATAATGAATGTTTGAAAGAGAAAAGACGAGAATAAAATAGATAATTTGTATCTAATGGTGAAAAATTCAGGCTACGTTTTTTTTTTTCTTCTTCTTTTGTGCGTCTTCCTCCTGTTGTGTGTTTCGTTTGAAATTATTTTTATGTGTGTCTAATAAGAGATATTTTCTCTATCTAAAAACATTAAAAAAAAAAAAATAAACATGTTGGGAATTGATTTATATTTCCCGCGAAAATAAATATATTTATGATAGTAACGACGTTGTTAAAATGGAATTACTTTATCTGAAGTGAAAATCGTGTCGGAACGCTTATTGAAATATCAGCATTATCATCTCTACAAAACCTTTAACAAAGGTTGTTATTCTTGACATGAAGAATTATTATCGTTTGCAGTTTTTATATATATATATATATATATATATATATATATATATAATTCCAAGATCATTTTCCAACTTATTCAATATGATCTTCGTCCTTTCTAACCTTCCAACATTTTGTCCTAGAGTTACAACGTGACTCACAAGTTTCACGTACGATTTAATTTTCAACTCTTTTTTTCACTGCTCTTTGAACTGTCATGGCTGAAACTCCTCTCTCACGTGCGAAACGTCTTAGGAATTGAGTTGAAGCCTTTCTAATTGATCTCTTTAGGTCCAAGTTGAAATGATAATCCCTCTTCTTGTTGTGACCTCCTGATCCAGTTTTCCTCTCTGTTGTTCCCTCTTTTTTTAAACTTATTCTACGTTTTCTTGATGGTTATTCGAATGGACTTTGAAGATGGGAGCCAAAGTATGAATGTTGGTACCATTACTGAAGGCGTGAATGATCTTTTTCCTCTCACCATTAGGAATACAGTGGGGCTGACACAAAACACTTTTAACCTGTTCTCTTTCTAGCAAAATAACACAAAGGGTTTTTCAGTGATTCTTACGACAAATGGTGTCAATATAGCTAAACGTCTTATCTGAAAACGTGGAAAAAAGAAACGCATTTAGTTTAGAGGTCTTTTAGATATTAAACATTTTGTGGGATGAACAATTATGTGGTTACACGATTTGGGCATTTTTCCTGTTACACTCGGTACATAGTGTTCATTTGTCTTCATTCCCATGGCTAGGTATTGTTTTATATTGCCCATATGTATTTCTTTCAGTGGTAAAAATGGAAAAAAAAAGATGACTAGATCAAGTGAATAATCCCTAATAGCTCATAGCCAATCATGGGAATTGGAATAAAAACAATCTATACCCGTGTATTAACTCAAAAAATCTCAGATCAAAATTCAAAGACAAACATTCACCTGAAAAAGTTCAGACTGATTAATTTAAATTTTTACGGTTTATCAACCTTTTTAAGGTTATTTAAAGCCGAAACATAATTTAGATTCTAAGAATTTTTATTGAGATAATAAGGATTTTCAGATACACGTCATATTAATTAACCCATAGATGGGAGGGGCACTGGTGTATTCATACCATTCCCAAGAGTATTTGCATATACGAGATGGATTCATACATTTCGCAATGGTATTCACAAGGTAAATATAACGAGCCCGACTGGAATTCGAACTCGGTACTCTGATTACTCATTCCGAGCCTCTATTCAGTACACCATCCGCATATCTAAGCTTACAGCACTTAGCATTCTCAAACGGTCGCTAACTTAGGCACTAACCAGCTTCAACGTTGCTTAACCTCGGTCATCAAACCGGTGTTTCAACGTTATATGGCCAGAAAAGGTTCAGAGAATGGAACAATCACATTGTTAGTATAACAAGCTATAATATAATTTATTTATTTATTCATCTGGTACAATAAAATTGGAGTCCAGGTCCACCAATAGCCCCATTCCCCGCTCACACAGAAACACTATCGAATAAAGAAAAGTAATAACGTTTTAAAATACGTTGAAAATATTCAACATGCGGCAGCGTCTATTTTACGCAGGACCCAAGTTTAGAAAAGCTCTCCCTCAAGCGATTTACTCTAGAACTAATATATCTGAAACCTCGTCCCTAGGGTAACAGTTCAAACATGTGGTACCCTGAAATGCGTTCTGTCTTTCATTATGTTTTCTGACCTGCTGCTGCGTCTATCAGGGAATGAGAAATGTCCTCCATGGTGGGCAGCGGGGGGGAGGCGATTATTTCCTGGGCAACATTTATAATCCTTTGGAGAGTTCTGTTGTCCGCTGCTGAGCAGCTGGTATGCCAAACAGTGATGCAGTACGTCATTACAATCTTAATAGAACAGGTTGTCAGCAGCTTCCTTTCTTAATTATTTTTTCTGATACTTTTTTTTCTCTCGTGCTTCCCGTACAAAGCTCACTTTCAGTGATCGGCGCTTTTGTCAGACAATAAAACGTTGACAGGTGACATTAAAACAGTCTTTTTTTTTAAACTCTGCTTTACTCACCAGTGCAATTCTGATATCGAATTTTCTACGTGAAAAAAAAACAAAAAACGATGCAAATGAAATTGATTTTCTTTAGCTTAGTTTCATTAAAATATTAGTTTGAACAAAACCACCAATAATTTAAATACTGACATCTATTTTACACCTGCTTGTCAACAAGAAATAAAACTCGTTCAGAAAAGTAACACACCTTTTTCATATAATTGAGCGGATGTGCGGATGGTTTAATCGATAGCGTCTCAAAATGAAAAATCGGAGAGCCGAGTTCGAACTCCAATCAAGTTCGTTACATTCACTTACGTTCATTTAACCTTCATAAAGATAAGAATCTATCTCTGCTCCCCCAGCTATGGGTTAAATGGTAAGATTTGTATTTGAAAGAAAACAATTTCTATTCTCAAAAATAAATTGTTAATGCAATATTCACCCGTAAAAAAAAAAAATTCTTACAACCTCCAAATAAGCTTTGGTTTTCAGTAACCCACAAAGCGTTGATAACCCGTAAAAATCAAATCACTAAACAAGATGTTTGATGTGGATGGTATCTCTCAAGCGATATTAACACTGCTCCATTTACAAAAGGGCTTACGGCGACATTACATTAAAAGACCGGTTCCCATAAAATCACCAAAGTTAAGCAACGTCGAGCCTGGCTCAGTACCTAGATGGGTAACCGTTTGGAATTACCAGGTGTTGTAAGTTCGGATGTGCGTGTCGTGTGATGGATAAAAGGCTTAAAATTGTTAATCGGAGAGCCGAGTTCCAATTCCCGTTGGGTTCGTTACGCTTAAATATCCTTGGGAAAAGTAGGAATCCACTTCTTCTCCCCCAGCTATGGGTTAATTAGTAAAGCGTGTGTCACTAAATCATTATCATCGTTAAAGAAATCTTACAATTTAAAAAATATTTGCCGGCTTTAAATAACTTGTAATGGGTTGATAATGTCGCAGAATACGAATCAATGATAGCAATTAAAACATTTAATAATGCTCTTCTGACATTTTGACCGCCATTTGGCTCATCTATAATAAAAAAAACGGCGCCAAGATAGATAATTGTAAGAACTACCGCTGTAAATATTAAGAGAGAAGTTTTATTTTTTGGTCTCATCTAATTCAAAATTCAGCGATACTTAAGTTTAGTTAAACTAATATTTTAATACATTATTTACATTATTCGGATTATTGTCCTCATCTTTGTCGCCATATTTATCACAACGTTTCGGCCGTTGTACGCTCCGGCCTTCTTGAGGTGGTTGGAATGTCGAACTGAACCCTTTATTTCGCTCACTGGGGTAGACTGTTCTAGTTCCACGTGCCATGTTTAATGGATGACAGCAGTTATCTCCTGTTAATTCCCCTCTCCAAATTCTCCACTGCCTTAACCGGGTATTGAACTCACACTCTTTGGGTCCTGTCACTGGATCTAACCAACGCCTTTATCCAATGTGTCATGTGTCGTTGATGACTCATGGCACAGGTTAAGGCAGTGGAGAACATTCAGAGGGAAATTAGCAGGAGATACCTGATAACTGACATCCATCAAACATGGCACGTGGAACTAGAATAGTCTACCCCAGTGAGCGAAATAAAGGGTGCAGTTTGAAATTCCAAGCACCTGAAGAAGGCCGGAGCGTACAACGGCCAAAACGTTGTGATAAATATGGCGGCAAATATGAGGACAATAGTCCGAATAATGTAAATAATGTACATAATACCTCATCTCAGAAATATAGACAGATACTGAAGTGCCAAAACCTTGTAATAAATATGACAACAAAGATGAGGACAATAGTCCGAATAATGTACATAATACCTCATCTCAGAAATATAGACAGACTCTAATATTTTAATGAAACTAAAAGCCAAGAAAATCAATTTGCGACATCATTTGTATCATTTCTTCGCATAGAAAATTCATTTTTCTAAAGCAAATACAAGAGACCTCTGTAAGAAAACTCGATTTCAGAATGAACGAAGAGCCATTGATTTTTCAACGCACTCTCTGACGCAAGTATCTTTACATTTTTCTTCCGCCATATTGTTTATTTATTTTATTCATTCATTTATTTTTTGCGTACGACGACACAAATGTTTTCTTCCTCTAGCTATTATCTGTATAAAAGAAAGATCGTCTTAACATTCGTATTCTTTCTTTTTGTTATCGAGGTGACAAGAACCAGGTGAAGGTGCTTCACTCGTACAATTTGGCGATCGATATAATTCTTTGCACATTCATCCAGACCCCACACCCCTAAAACTCATCTCCAGACTTTTCGAACTCAGCTTGTTATTGATCAAAGTAGACAGACATTTTATTCAACAACTTGTTAATTCCTTTTCTTTCTTTTTTTTTCATTTCTGTCACATTGCCTGTTGGGTTGTTTTTGTTTTTTGTTGTTGTTGTTTTCTTTTGTTTTTTTCTTTACCATTGGTTAATTTCTGTAAGATCATTTTATATATTGTTTATTTGGGGTTTTTTTTCTTCCTCCTCCTCTTTCTCTCTTTCTTTCTTTTCTTTTTTTTCTTTCTTTGTTTTACGTTCAGTCTTCATTTTTTACTTTCTTCTTTTTTATTCTTTCGTTCTTAATTTCCTTCTTCCTTTAGTCATTCTTTAACCTTCATTTTCTTTCTTTTTTCTTTTGTTTTCTTTTTCTTTCTCTTAACTTTCTTTCTTTTTCTCTCTTTATTAATTTCATTGCTCCATTCATTCTTTTACGGCCTTAGCCTCTTTCTCTTCCTCAAATGATTTCTCTCTTTTCATGTATTTCTTTTTCTTTTTTCCGTTTCTACCTTTTTTTCTTTCTTTCTTTCTTTCTCTTTATTTGTCAATTTCTTCCTATTTTCATTCTGTTTTTCTTTCTAAATTTATTATATTATTTTATTTTTCTTAATTTCATGTTCAATTTTTTAAATATTTAAAAAAATTTTCTTGCTCCCTTATTTCATTTTTCTTTCTTTTCGAATACTTGTCAATTCCGTTCTGCTTTTTTTTTAGTGGGGTAATGAAGATTTTTTTTTTTAGTGGGTTAATGAAGATTTTTTTTTTAGTGGGGTAATGAAGATTTTTTTTTAGTGGGTTAATGAAGATTTTTCTTTTAGTGGGGTAATGAAGATTTTTTTTTTAGTGGGGTAATGAAGATTTTTTTTTTAGTGGGGTAATGAAGTTTTTTTTTAGTGGGGTAATGAAGATTTTTTTTTTTTAGTGGGGTAATGAAGTTTTTTTTTTAGTGGTTTAATGAAGATTTTTTTTTTAGTGGGTTAATGAAGATTTTTTTAGTGGGGTAATGAAGATTTTTTTTTTTTTAGTGGGGTAATGAAGATTTTTTTTTAGTGGGTTAATGAAGATTTTTTTTTTAGTGGGGTAATGAAGATTTTTTTTTAGTGGGGTAATGAAGATTTTTTTTTTTAGTGGGTTAATGAAGATTTTTTTTTTTTAGTGGGGTAATGAAGATTTTTTTTAGTGGGTTAATGAAGATTTTTTTCTTTTAGTGGGGTAATGAAGATTTTTTTTTTTTAGTGGGGTAATGAAGATTTTTTTTTTTTAGTGGGGTAATGAAGTTTTTTTTTTTAGTGGGGTAATGAAGATTTTTTTTTTTTTAGTGGGGTAATGAAGATTTTTTTTTTAGTGGTTTAATGAAGTTTTTTTTTTAGTGGGTTAATGAAGATTTTTTTTTAGTGGGGTAATGAAGATTTTTTTGTTTTTAGTGGGGTAATGAAGATTTTTTTTTTTTAATGGGGTAATGAAGATTTAACAAGCTAATCAAGGAGACTCGTTATATTAGGTTGGTGCAAAAGTAATGACGTAATAATGTCGTTTTTTGACCTTAAAAAATACGTCAAAAAACGACATTGTTACGTCATTATTTTTACACCAACCTAATAAAATGGGGATTTTGACTCTCATGTGGTGACCATAGTTTTTACGCTAAAGTTGGGTTCAATAAATATATATATAATTATTTATTTAAAAATATGATTCCAAAACGTGACATAAGAAGTCTCATGTTTCAAAACAAGAGCCGAAAACTTCAATATAATCATTTAAATTAAATTGAGTTAAAGTAAACTCTGTTCCATCTTCAAGCGAAATTTTTTTGAATAACTTATTTCCGAAATTTACGTGTTTTAAAAATTGAAATCAAAATTTCCATGGTAACAGCTAGGGCGAATTGTTTTATATATATATATATATATATATATATATATATATATATATATATATATATATATATATATATATATATATATATCTGTACAGCCTGTCGTGGTGTGACGTATGACAAAGGTAACCGCGGAGGACTCACGTATCATTTTTGTCATACTACGCTAAGTTTCTTAAATTAATTTCTTTTTTATTTCTTTTTAACGGGAATTGGAACTCGGCTCTCCGATTAACAATTCCGAGCCATTATCCATTACACCATCCGCACATTCAATTTTACAGCACATGGTATTCCCAAACTGTCACATATTTGGGTACTAATCAGAATTGACTTTGCTTAACTTCTGTGATATTATGGTGTTTCAACGTGATGTGGCCGTAATCTATCTATTTCAATTCTTTCCTGATCTATCTATCTATCTATCTATCTATCTATCTATCTATCTATCTATCTATCTATCTATCTATCTATCTCAATTATTTCCTGATTGATCTATCTATCTATCTATCTATCTATCTATCTATCTATCTATCTATCTATCTATCTATGTCAATTATTTCCTGATCTATCTATCTATCTATCTATCTATCTATCTATCTATCTATCTATCTATCTATCTATCTATGTCAATTATTTCCTGATCTATCTATCTATCTATCTATCTATCTATCTATCTATGTCAATTATTTCCTGATCTATCTATCTATCTATCTATCTATCTATCTATCTATCTATCTATCTATCTATGTCAATTATTTCCTGATCTATCTATCTATCTATCTATCTATCTATCTATCTATCTATCTATGTCAATTATTTCCTGATCCATCCATCCATCTATCCATCTATCTATCTATCTATCTATCTATCTATGTCAATTATTTCCTGATCTATCTATCTATCTATCTATCTATCTATCTATCTATGTCAATTATTTCTGATTGATCTATCTATCAATTATCTATCTATCTATCTATCTATCTATCATATCTATGTCAATTATTTCCTGATCTATCCATCTATCTATCTATCTATGTCATCCATTTCATCTATCTATCCATCTATCTATCTATGTCAATTATTTCCTGATCTATCTATCTATCTATCTATCTATCTATCTATCTATCTATCTATCTATCTATCTATGTCAATTATTTCCTGATCTATCTATCTATCTATCTATCTATCTATCTATCTATCTATGTCAATTATTTCCCTGATTCATCTATCTATCTATCTATCTATCTATCTCAATTATTTCCTGATTGATCTATCTATCCATCTATCTATCTATCTATCTATCTATCTATCTATCTATCTATCTATCTATGTCAATTATTTCCTGATCTATCTATCTATCTATCTATCTATCTATCTATCTATCTATCTATCTATGTCAATTATTTCCTGATCTATCTATCTATCTATCTATCTATCTATCTATCTATCTATCTATCTATCTATCTATCTATGTCAATTATTTCCTGATCTATCTATCTATCTATCTATCTATCTATCTATCTATCTATCTAAATACAAGAGTGGACATAGACTTCATAAACCAGAGGCGACAGTTGTACATGTCCCTTTCACTCTTTTTATGTCTGTGTATCTATGAGTGTTTTATGTCAAAAAGAAAATCCGGTTTACTGACTGCCGATTTCCCAAGCAGTCATACTTTTTCTTATCAGTATGATTGGTGCACAGGAAAAAATCATTCTACCTGCACTCAACACCTATTTTCTCAGCTAACGTGCCAACTTCATAGATAGACTCACCGTACACACGTATCAACCAATTTCTCTTTGTATACCAATGGCAAACAGGAAGTTCCACGTAAACAGCTTCTTAAATTCCTCGATCACTGTAAGCTTAACCTAAGGATAACCTGTATCTATCCTACATATCCTCATAATCTGCATTTCTCACTCCCTCCTTTACTATA